AATGGTAGAGGTATACCCACATCCACACCGTATTTTGAACCTCGAATGATGCAACTGATACCCATTTCACAAAAGAAAATGTATGAGTATTGATTGAATAACTTTTGATAGAAACTAGGCAGAGAGCTATCGTTTCAAATGCTTGAAAGAGACAATGAAACTACATTGAATCACATATATCAGATTTTTTTTGTCAAGTTTTTCGAGGATTTTTCATTTGGTTTCCAACAAATGAGACGTTACGTGAGATGAAAGTTTTGGATTTTTAATTTTCATGAATGTACTAGAATCCGTAACTAAAGATCTACTAATTGTGCAAGCTGGACGTTCATGTCTTTAGTTCATCCGGAGTTATATACATTTTACTATGCGTGTTCGGTCGATTTTTCACAAACACAAAGGTTTCTCCTTATTTTTTTGATAAAATGTCGATTTTAAAAAAAAATTCACAATGAACTCTACGAAAATTCGTCAGAAAAATCTAACTTATACGATTCGGTATAGTTTCATCGTCTCTTTCAAACGGTAAAAACTGCAGCTCCCTACTTAGTTTCTATCAAAAATTATTCAAAAAAAATACTCTTATTATTTCTTTTTTCAAATGGGTATTAGTGAGTCTTTGCTCTCCATTGTATGTTCGTAAAACTAAATTACTTTTCAGAGAAATTATCAATTGCAATAAAACGGAAGGATTAGAAGAATAAAAAACGCAATAATAACAATTATTGCCATCACAAAGAGTGTAATTGAATATTTTCAAGGTTATTGTTCTTAGATGATCTTGTGATATTGTGTTTCAAACAACCTATATAAGTAACTTTAGTTTTCACGACTATTCAATCCTGACATAAGCAACAATAACACAATTCAGAGATGTTATTCGTCGCAGCGATTCTTGTCGTTTTTGCTACCAGTGTCTACGGTCAACATCAATTGATTATTCGGGACAATGGAAAATTGTGTACTCCATGGATACCGACAACTGGTGGACAAATATCACTCACATATACAAATAATCCAGAATGTGTCGGACAAGTTGGATTTGAACAACATTCCACCTTCATGCAAGTTCGCCTATGCTGTCAAGCGTTGCCTACAACTACAGCATCATCCATCTTTCCACGCGAGTGTGGTAGACAACAATATCAACCAATAAAGGGACGTATAGTCGGAGGAATGCATGCACATCCAAACTCATGGGTAAGAGAATAAAATCAAATCTAGCTACTCACTACACACTCCTTCTATCTCGCTTCTAGCCATGGCAAGTGCGTATACACGCTGATGGTGGTCTCTGTGGTGGAACTTTAATTGATACAAGACATGTTCTGACAGCAGCTCATTGTCTTCGAACACCAATTGTTCCACAAAAATATATGGTCTATATTGGTTTGCATGATATCAATCAACCAGTCTATAATGAACAGCAAATTGTGGCAGAACAAATTTTTATGCATGAACAGTACGATACATTGACGAGTGAAAATGATATTGCTATTATTCGTCTTTCAAAACCAGTAACAATTTCAGACAAGATCAATGTTATCTGTTTGCCAGGTCCTGAAGCACACAATGCAAATGAAACGGTTTGGGTCGGTAAGTTATCATTATCGCTTTTCCCTTTTCAAAGTAAACAAGTACTTATATCCGTTTTCTTCAGCTGGTTGGGGTACAACATCATTTCAAGGTCAAACAAGTCCAGTTTTGAAACAAGCATCGTTGCATGTAATGCCAGATCGTTGTGGAATGATCTTTCGTACTTATGATAATCGAAAACAAATGTGTGCTGGTGCTTACGGTGGAGGACATGATACATGTCAAGGTGATTCAGGAGGACCATTGATGTACGAATCAAACGGACAATGGTAAGTGAGCTCTACCTTTCACTTCCCTGTCTCACCAAGATGTTATTTCTTCCTTCTTTTAGGTTTTTAAACGGTGTTGTTAGTTATGGTCATGAATGTGCTCGAGATGGATATCCTGGTGTTTATGCTCGTGTTAGTTATTATCTTCCATGGATCAGAAGTAAATTGAGTGCAGTTTAAGTTCTTTTCCAATTTTATATTGGAAAAATACTCTTTGAAAATAAAGAGCGCAGAATTTTAAAATAATTCTTTTCCTGTGAATGGGAGTGGGGGGGGGGGGGGGGGTGAGACTAACTGTCATGGCTGGTTTTGACTTTGCTAAAGGGTCTCTTCAGATAGCTTATTCTGTTTCAAGGTTCAAAAACGTCAGTAGACTATCTTCATTGTTGCTGAGAATATGAGAGTGTGTTAAACACTTATATTATACAGATACAAAGCAGAATACTACGCATTTCGGCTCTACTTCACACATCCATGATCAGTTGTCTTTATAATTAATACTAGATACTTCAAATAAGGGCGTGGGTGAGGGTTGGAATGAGTTGAGTAAGAATAGATCTAGCACATCATATGACGTTTCATCGTTGCTTAAGTAACTTATCAGGTATCTTCAGAATCTAATTGATACTACATGTTTCAAGCAAATAAATTATTTGACTAATGCCTATATATTCGAAACTATAATTATTTTCAATAAAGGATCACATAAAGACAATCAAAATGAAATAAGTACAAACTCAAAGGAACATAGTCTGAAATAAAATCTATTGTATATAATACAGCAATTTTTAAGAGGGTTTGTTAAGTACTCTATCAAATAGATTCGAAGCTGAATATGATGTTGTTTCCAGCAAATAAACGATTCATTTATTCATGTTCACATGATTATCTCTGGATGTTTTATTTCGAAAATGGCGTTGCTCCTAATGACTGTCGTAAGCTTCCTTCATGTAAGAAGGATATTAGTGCTCGTATTGAAGACGTTTTTATTGAGCGTGATCTACTTCAGTTAAAAATTCCAACTGATGAAGATTTTTCGTTTTATTGAACAATACATTCAAGACTAAAATCAAAAAATATCTTTTGACTGTCACAATAAAATACTTGCAGAGCACAGCAATTCAGGCGAAAAGCCTGATCATCCTGAAAATTCGATTGTTTTTTGTTTTTCATACATGTTAACTCATACTGTACTGCTGTTATTGCATAAATGTGATTATTTACCAGAAGTTGATCTACCGAAAAATGACTATTTTCACAAACATTTCGAAAAAGAACACATTCTGTTCAGTTAACAAACGATCGATCCTGAACAACACTAAATATTGCTATTTAAACTATTCAGTCACATGTTCGATGAAAACTTTACGTTTGCAGGAATACATGATAGCCGTGAGAAAGTAACACAATTGGTACTACTTATCGAACAACGACTCATTCTCACTCCTATGGCATCGATGGTCGATGAAATTCATCAGTACAAAAGCATCTATGTCGATGTAATTCTTCAAAATAAAGAAAAGCATTCAGTTGATAAATATGTTGATGAAGTAAAATCAAATGAACAACGTTTTCCTTTATTGAAATTTTTCAATGTTACAAACATTCATACAGTCAATCCAATCAATGAGTTTCAAAAACAAACTTGAAATGATAATTGATTCAGATAAAGTTTATTCATTAACAATAATTCTACTCTAACGACTAGATGTATTTGCCAATATTCAATACCTTCATCCTATTGTAACACTCACCAATCATCTTACGCACAAATTCAACTGTCGAGTAAAACGTATTGATGCATCGACAAAATTTATTAGTGAAGATTTGAATGAAAGTCTAGATTGATGATTCAATGGGAAAGCTTTATTCAAGTTTTGTTCATTCTTGGTACATACTAGAGTGTGAGTGTTGGTATGACGGGAGAAAATCTCAATATCCACACTCACTCGAACCCACATCCTTGAATGTTGTTCGTTCATCGATCAATTGATGAAAAATAAGTTGAAAGAATCTTTTTTTCCTGTCTAATTTCTCATCAAGATAAAGAAGTTGCATCGGAAAGGAGAATGCCATTCAATGTTAGAAACAAACGATGAATCTTTCGAAGGGTAACACATCGACCACAGTTTCGTTTATTGGTCAATACAGTCAGACGTCGATTGACTCGGTTCGATTTCTTTTCGTTATGTTCGCCCTGTTTCAGCCAGTACACTATCTTCAGACGATATATGCGAATTCTTCTTTGAATCTTTTGCAAGAACAGTATTAATACTTAATAGAATACTTATAAAGTAAATATGTGAAGAAAAGAGCTTAGGTTTTATTTTGATTAAGAAGATAGATCAAGAACTGATATAAAAACTAGAGTATCAAGTGTCAGTGTTCTGGCTAGTGCCATTGATAAAGAATTAATCTAGCATCTGGTCATAGTGTAGTTAACTAAGTCCATCAGAACAAAATTAGAGTATCGTCGTAGGCAAAATCCGTTCGTTTTTGTATTAATCAACTCAGCATAGTGTTTCCTGCCAAACAATTTGCATGAGATCAGCAAATCTTCAACACCATCATTATTGAGATCAATCGCGCGACAACAATCAATTGCAACACCGTTGTCTTCTTGAACACAGTATATTTCCGAGCCAAAAAGAATGTTGGTAGTATACACCGTTAGGATGAAAATTGCAAATAGAACTGAATTTTTTGAAATGGCCATCTTGAGGATGAGATCGATATGAAAGTGAACAGAAAAATAGGATGGCTATGGTAATGGATACACTGAAAAAGTACGCCCATTTTTATAGATGACTTTGTGTATGAATTCTTACACATATTTGACAAACACTTCAAAATGAGTGCGTCAATATATGAGGAAAAGAGCAGAGACAACACTCAGTTCTTATGATTCAAATTGATTATGTGCGTTTCGAAATTTCTTTCAGACGTCACAAGATATCACTTTTCTTTGAGATTATACATAGTGTGCGGTATGTTTTTTTGTTCTAACAACTCAGATGAAGTATTTATTCTTTCTTTAGCGATAACGATGTAAATTAAGAATAGAGAATGACTATGTATGTATAGGATTATATTAAGCAAAACGAATAGGAACAGGAAGAAAGGTCAAGTAAAATGCTTGCGATCTTATGTGAACATCAACGTCTTGCTTTCAATCTATGACAAAATTAACAATTGCTTTTTTTATAACTGAAAGAGAATTGATTATTTTGATAGATCAGCATCGAAATGTTGATCTTTTTCTCATCCATTCATTAGACGCGACAATCAACTAAAACGAAAAGAACTTCTCTACTATTTCGAATTGAAATCCAATCAAAACTTCGTCAAAAACTCAATCAAAGATTGACATTGATCAACAAGTAATTCTATAATCAAATTCTTCATTTCGAACTTTTTTCGGAAAATCTTCCTTTGTTCTTCTATTTCAACAACCGATTGGAGTCTTTTTGACAAGTAATCTATCGTCCCTTTCTATTGACTATATAAGATCAGATGGACATGTTTCGATTATCACAACACGGTAATAGAGACTTTCTTGTTGTGTTGAAATACATAGTCAAAGCTAACAATCTAGTGCTGCAATCCACTTTACTTTCTTTAGGAATCACTAGTAACTTATTCGAGTAACTGATTTTGCATATCGCACCTAGTGATCTGATAGATAAGATTCATGACTTAAACAGTATTCATGATGACAATATTTCTTGTTCGTACACATGATCAGTCTTGAGCAAGCATAAAGACACTCTATCACCAAGAATTGGTCAATGGCATACAAAAAAGCGATATCGATCATTCACTTGCTTTGTTTCATTAGTTCAAGTGTCCAACGAGAGAAACCACTTATCATCTCAGCTTTGTGTACCAGTCTTTTCCCATATCGATCGATATTTCATTGAGCTTATTCGATTGTCATCATCACTATTTTGTTTGTTGGCAATGCCTTTAATGAATTGTCTGATTCCTTATTCTACATAGCAGTGTTTCGAGACGAATACTTTCGCAATAGTGCTGACAACATCATCTTGTCTTTGTCAACGGACATTGATTCAGTTTTGTTTCATCTGAATATTGACTGTGTTTTACTTCTCTCGAGAGTCAAAACAATCTACTACTAACAGTCACTAAACTGCATCATTCGTCAATCACTTATCAAACTTTTTCTACACAAATGAAAGCAAACACTCAAGTATATCTTGTGTAAATTCATCGTTTCTTTCACGAATAAGAACAGAAAAGAAGTATGCACAGCAAGTAAATCACTGAAAAAAAGTACTTTGTTTTCTCGCACGGCTTCTCTGTAGAACTATGCAATAGTCTGGTTGAGAAATTCAGTAATTGAAATTGGACCCTGCATTTTCAGAATAAAAGACAGCTATATGTTTGGTTGTCCGATTCGATCAATTTCATAATTTGATTCGAATGTGAAATAAATTATACGTTGTCGATGTGAGAGTCAATAACACATCTTGAGAAATCTTGCTCATATGTATTGAAGAAAAAAAATCGATTTTGTCAATGTTTGACGTTCTGTTTGGAATCTGCGAAAAAAAAAGAAACATGTGAGCTCGATTTTCAAGGAGTTTGATCCTATAATCAAAACTTGTTCACAATTCGGTTCAACTTTCAGAGACAAAGACCTCAAGAAAAATGAAAAAAAATCATGTAAGCTCTAAGATAAGCCTTTGATGTCATTCGTCTATCTAATTTAGCCTGAACTAATTAAAATGAGATTTTTCTTTGCTTAAAATATTCACATGATGAACATTAGGAGATGATTTCAGAAAAGGGTTTTGAATAAGAACTGAGAAGAAAACAATGAATTTGTTTTTTAAAAGTGAACGAGAGAAAATAAATGCAAATTTTCAAAATATCAAAATGATTCGTTCATTGTACATCTTGAATATGGCATTGAACGAAATGAAGACAACCATTAACGAATCTATCGTTGATGTTTGAAAGTTCATTTCTTACTATATTTCTGTGAGAGACGAGTGCAATTACCTCTGCTTAAAAGACTTAACATAGATAGTTATCTCTTTCGAAAGATTATTCTTTCATCCTATCTAATCTACTTCAATAAACATAACACATTGCTGAGTCATTTGATCTTTCTCTCCATTTGTTTACTTGTTGTTACCATTGATTACTTTTCAGAA